GCTCTGTGCTGACAGCTCGGAGCCTGGAGCCTGCTTCGGATTTGACATCTCCCTCTCTCTCTGCCCCTCCCCAGCTTGCACTTTGTCTCTCACTCTCTCTCAAAAACAAATAAACATTTTTAAAAAATTATTTAAAAAAAATAAAGAAAGAAATCAAATTCTTGAAGGTTTAAACTTACGAAAGATGAAAAAATGGATAGATAAATAGTATCTACGCCAAGTTAGCTGTCTGTCCCATTTTCAACAATCATGAGATATGCTTTCCACAGGCAAGAGAAAAGGCTCAATCCTTCCTTCTGGGAAGATTTGAAAAGAAATGGTGATTTTTCCTATCACCAGCTGAACACTCGTCAGGAAGCCAACTGGTGAAGTGACCAGGCTTTACTCCCACTAGACCACAACACACTCTTCAAACGAAGAGACGGGTGCTGGCCGCTGACCTTTCTCGGAGAAGGGGCTGATCCAGAAGAGGGCTAGGAGATCTGGAAGGCTGGTAGGTGGCAAATGAGGCTTCCCGGTGGAAATCGGCGTCCCCTTGGTTACCATAACTGGGCGATGGTTTTCCAAACTGACTTGAATCTAAAGGTGATGGTGATTCTTTCCTTAAAACAATGCGTTCATCTGGCTCTTTGATAACCTGAGTGACAATGTGCATTATTCTTTAGCTGTCATTTTGCTCTGGTCTGCTTAATTAGAGCCAGGGGTGGGTGGGATGAGGAAGGGGGCAAGCTAATTGAGTACCTGCCCCAAGGAGCCCCTGCAGTAAAAGAACGGCAGGAGTAGGCGGTACTGAAACAACATGCTGAGGAGTCAAGGTCAAGGGAAGGAAAACCAAAATTCTGCACGTTTGGCACATATGAACAAGCCAAAATAAACTCATGCTCCGAACTTTGATTTGAGAGGATAAGGGATTATCGGGTTTGGTAAAGATACAATTTCTTAAATAAAATATTTAAAGGCCGTGGCATCAAAAGCTCAGTATATCCCATCCCTCTGCCTACATCTATTTTCATGTTGTAACGTACAAGTGTGAGCCTTCACCTTGACAAACCAAACTTCAAGAGTAAGTGGCTTGCCACCTCTTTGTGTCATAAAAAGTATTTGATTGGGGAAAAAAAGCAATAAAAATACCAACTGGTAAAGTAGGTATTGGGGCGTTTGACCCTGGTGATTCATTCCACAAATGGAAAGAGCTTGTAGGAGGGGAACAGAGCGACCAATGCAAGAGGACAGTGGCGCCTGGGCATCTCTTAAACTCTAGTGCAGCTACAGCAATTCCACAAGCAGCACTTGCTAGAAATAGCCTTTCCACCCCTCGTTGGGGAACGCACAATAACCGACATTAGAAGCTGGAAATAAATCATTTACAAATGCTACTTCTACAATTACCTTTATGTTAGCAGCAAAGCTGTCAAAAGAAGAAGCTAGAAGAGAGAGGAACAGGTGTTTCAGTGATTCATTTTTACCGGGAACCCCTAAAACTGCTGTTAGGTCTCCTCTGCAGCAGCACAAAACTATGACACGTGAATGAATTATTAAAGAATCTAAGCGCTCCCTTGTAAATTACACTGTCAACTTTTATGCGTCCCTTGAGTCACAGTAATCCTATCTCTGAGTGTTTCTGTCATTTTGAGTTCCGGTGAAGTTGTATTATTAATGACAGTACACAGGGACGTGGAAAGGGCAAAGGAGGGTCTACAGTGAAGCAGTAAATTCCTCACGCAGCCTGGAAAACAAAACTCATATTCGCCCAATTGCCCAGAGCCTAAAAGAAAACCGTGTGACTCTCATATAAAATTCATATACTCTGCGTCTGCCATTCCCTTCATATTTGGTTTATGTGGAGATCCTATTTATGCACAACTCTCCAGCATGCTTGTCCAAGGTAGACACGATTGTTAAATGGAGACAATGAATAGACAAGAGCTTGGGAAAACATAATGCAGCAAAGTGTAAATCATTAGGATTACCCTAAACAATCATGAGTAAGTAAGTAGACCGCATGCCAGAGACTGGTAAGGATGACTGGGAAGTGAAGTAATGAATACACACAGGCAAAATCAAGACTAAACTGGATTCTTCCAAAGTCAGAAAAAAAAATGCTTTTGGAATGAGTATTTGCAGGGCTAGACCAAAGACACCGTGACTTCCCCCTCTGCGCTTGGGGCTTAGGCCGTGACAAGGGCTTTTTATGGACTGCTGATGTCCCTCTGTCACTGACAGTAAGAAGGAAGATACGAAACGGGCTTTTTAAAGACTGGTAATCGCCACCACTTCCCGGCATGCAGGTGTGTGTGACTACCTTGTCCCAGAAGTTCCCTTCTCCCCAACTCCTAGCTGAGCCGGGAGCTGGCAATGCTAAGGCCCTTTACGGCTATAGCCACAAATCTGCCCTGTTGACAGAAACCCCTTGCTACTGGCTGGGATCACTGCCTTTCACAAGGGGCCTGCCCTGTTCTCTTGCTTCTCAAAGTGCAGTCCCTGGACCAGCCACGTTGTTATTACTGGGAAGCTTGTAAGAAAAGACGGCTCCCAGGCCCCACCCCAGCCCTACTGAATCAGAATCTACAGTTTAACCAGAGCCCCAGGTAATTCAAATGCACATTCAAGTTAGAGAAGCCGCTGCTTTATTCTGCCTTAGGCCGGGATGAATGAGCTGACGGGTGACCTAAGCAAAGGTCTGGCTTGGGACCCACAGGGAATCCAAGGATCTGAGAGCCCAGAGGTCTGAACGTCTTCTCTAAAGGTAGGTGTGCCCTACAATCTGTAACTTCTCTGGAACCTCAGTTCTCCACCTGCCAGGATTAAGAAAAGACAGAGAGGCCGAGACCGGTGTGAGGCATGAGAGTCCTGTCGTAACTGAGCCAGCATTAAGCCCAACGTGTCCTCTCCAGGAAAGGACACTTGACGTTGCCTGATCTCACGGTAATAGGGAAGGCAGTGCTGCTTTTATAGGCTACGTGGGTGATTTTCAATCCAAAGGACTTAAATTAAATGTCAGAGGTGATAAAGCACTTTCTGCTTCAAACCCCGTACTCTGTCCTTGGTCGGCTGCTAACAGTCACCGTGTTCCAGGAACACTGGTTTGAGTTACTAGAAGAATCTGTGTAGCCCCTTAAAAGCATAAGCCTTTAAGCCTAAAATAGGGAATGTGCTGTCAGGATTGGCCTCGGTCCAGTTCCACCAGGAGTCAAGAAAATAGGCCAGCACTGCAAGCCTAAGAATTTTTATCAGGTTCAGGAATGGATGCACTTCACTGCCGTGACCTTGGGAGCTGCCACATCATAAGGTACATGCCACCAAGGGATGCATTAACTCAGTGACTCTCAACATAAGGTTCAGGGAGCTCCCCAGGGCTCACCAACAACTTCCAGGAGATCTGCAAAGTCAAAACCGTTCTAATAATACTAAGATACGAGTTATCTTTCTCTCATTCTCGCACGAGGGAATTTTCCAGAAGCTACATGATGTGTCATGACATCACCACTCTACGTGGCTAATGGAACGTGTGCTTGTAAAATTCCCGTATATTACAAATTTCTCAGTTTCAATTTCTAATGTGCTAACTATTAAGAGGTATCATCCACTTAAACAAAAGCTCTTTGGGGACCTCAATAGTATTTAAGAATACTTAATTCAAAACCCCTTAATGCAAAAGGGTCCTGGGGCACCTGGGCGGCTCAGTCCGTTAAGCGTCCAACTTCAGCTCATGATCTCACGTCTCCTGGGTTCAAGCTTCCCGTCGGGCTCTGTGTTGACGGCTCGGAGCCTGGAGCCTGCTTCGGATTCTGGGTCTCCCTCTCTCTCCACCTCTACCCCGCTCATGTTCTGTCTCAATCTCTCTCTCAAAAATAAGTACACATAAAAAAATTTTTTAAAAGAATGCAGAAGGGTCCTGACAGTTGCACGTGAGACTCCCTGCCTTAACCTAACTGCTTCAGGTCAAGCTGGAGCTCCTCTTTGCTGACCTGGCCTCTTGTAAAGCAAAGCTTTGATCTCCACCAATCCCCTCCCACACCCCCGGCTCTTTCCCACCTCGAGAAATGGTGAGCCTCCTCTGTTAGCTATGTGGGGTGCCTTTGAGGGTGTCCCACCAGGACAAGCTGGCCCCTCTTCCGGCCCAGCCACCTCGTGACGGTGCTACTCGGAGCATTCTCCTTTGACAGCGAGGGGGACCAGGAAGGGGACAGCTCTCCCTGGCCTCTGCTCCGTGGGAACGCCTTCCCTGCAAGCTCCACAGCTGGACGGCACTTGACAATTAGGCCAAAGAGTTTCCCCCCAAAAACGTGGGATGCTTCAGAATGAAAGATTTAGGGAGCACCTGGGTGGCTCGGTCAGTTGAGCATCTGACTCTTGGTTTTGGCTCAGGTCACGATTTCATGGTTCGTGGGTCCAAGCCCCGCGTCGGGTTCTGTGCTGACAGTGCTGAACCTGCTTGGGATTCTCTCTCTCTCTCTGCCCATCCATCCCCCCCAACTCGTGCTGTCTCTCTCAAAATAAATAAATAAACATAAAAAAAAAAAAAGAATTAAGGAAGATTCAGAAGGAGGATGGGGAATCTGTAGGAGTAACCCAGTAATTCCACTGGGGAATCTGTAGGAATAACAAGAAACTCCAGTACCTCTTCTCCCTGGAAAAGGTAAGTTTGAAAACTTAGGTTTTGTCCTAGACTTCCGGGGGTTAAGCTCTGAAATATTGTCACCAAAAGGCTTCGCACTGTCCACCTGAAAGAAAGGAAAGAAATAAGATTTGAACCCACCATAGCTCATGTTACCCTCTCCTCATTACCTGTAGTGCCTTTCTCCCATTCAATTGCGGGCCACGCAAGTAAGAAGGGAAGGCTGGGCAGGGGGTGCCTGGGTGGCTCAGTCGGTTAAGCGTCCGACTTTGGCTCAGGTCACGATCTCGCGGTCCATGAGTTCGAGCCCTGCGTCGGGGTCTGTGCTGACAGCTCGGAGCCTGGAGCCTGTTTCGGATTCTGTGTCTCCCTCTTTCTCTGACCCTTCCCTGCTCGCACTCTGTCTCTCCCTCTCTCTCAAAAATAAACACACATTAAAAATTTTTTTTAAATAATTTTAAAAAAAGAAGAAAAGGTTGGGAACAAATTGAATCATATCTCCATGTATGTTAAATGTTATCCCAACAAAGGAAGCTGTGTGTCCTTACCTTCGCTGAGGCTTAAACAGGAAGGTATGAGCTAACTCTTAGCATAAAGTTGGACACAAATTATGTTCTAACCACAGGTTCAGGATCAAGCCCAGAAACGAGTAAGTGAAGTTTATTTCTAAATCTTTCAAAACAGCACAGTTTCATGTTCCTAAACAGGACGCAGTGCTGGCCTAGGTAGGGTCCTCCCTGAAATCAGGGGATTATCACAAGGTGACATTTCAGCCTTCCCCATTCCCTTCAATCTGAGTGCCTGTATCCTTAAAAAAAAAAAAAAGAATAGTGGCAGCTGCGTTATTTTAATTAAGGTGACCTTATTATCCTGACTGGGCAACATAATCTGTAAACAGGTCCAAACACTTGAAATAGGGAACTAACTACTTCAGAATACTTATGGCATAGAGTCGCTGGATTTTTTTTTTTATCTTGTTTATTTCTGCCATTTTTTTTTAATTTCAAGAAGGCAGGTTATAATGTGACTCTTCATTCTACTTTCAGAATTTCATTGATTAGAATTAATGTCTTCACGACATTAAGTCCTCTAAATTTTAATGCTTCTGCTTAAAGAAACGTCACATGCCATCAGGAAATCTGGCTCCATAAGAGTTACTACATATAAAGCATTTAGAAAAGAGCTTGGTACATAGCAGAGGCTGTACAAGAATTTGTTAAATAAAATAAACACCAAGCAGGTTTTATTCCCTATGAAATCTATCAAGATTTTAAGATTATGTAGCCCAAAGGGCCTCGACTACAGTTGTATTTCACAAAAATGAAATGCAATGAAGCAGAGCATCCAATAAACTCAGTTCAACAATATTTAAAGATTGGTCGCTAGGTTTTTACCATTTTACCCAGGTTACCATGAGGTAACCCCAGCTGCTCTATGGTCTCTGGCCAAATAACATCTCTGTTAAACCTATAAACCCACTCTGCACACAGTCACCTCAATCAATAGCACGGGGCTGACCATGCTTCGTATTTTTTTTTTTTTTTTTTTTTTTTTTTTGAGAGAGAGAGAGCACACTCGAGCAGGGGAGTGGGGCAGAGGGGGAGAGAGAGACAGAGAGAATCCCAAGCAGGCTTGACATAAGGCTCAATCCCACATCCCTGGGATCATGACATGAACAAAAATCAAGATTCAGAAGCTCAACCAACTGAGCCACCCAGGTGCCCTTTCTTATATCTCATGCACAAACATCACCACCAGTGACTTCTTTAAGCCAAGTTATCAATTTGACAGTAATATCCACAGTTAACTACTGGGAGTTATAAGGACTCCTGGAGAATAAATCATTAACTAGAATGTGGAATAAAGAATATGAACTAATATAGGAAATGCTTTTAATGTAATATTAACCATATATATTGAGAAACCAATCTACATATACAGTATAATTATAAGTTTGTGGAAAAAATAAAGCCTTATGAATATTTAAAAAGTGAAAGAAAATCCATTAAAGAAAATGTTTATTTATATTACATTGGTGAGCCTATAGGTAATCTTTTTTCAATTTCTCTATATTTTCCATTACTTAAAAAAAAATTTTTTTTTAATGTTTATTTTTGAGAGAAAGAATCCAAAGCAGGCTACAAGCTCCGAGCTGTCAGCACAGAGCCCGATGCGGGGCTCGAACCCATGAATCATGAGATCATGACCTGAGCCGAAGTCAGACACTCAACCAACTGAGCCACCCAGGCGCCCCTCTGTTATTTTTATAGTAGTCAAAAAAAAAATGTAAGGAGGCGATGTGGGCTGCTGCGATTAAATTTCCCCGTTACTTCCTGAGGGCTAAACCTAAGGAAGCTTTAATTAAGGGCCTTGAGTATGGCACGTCATTGCTTCTAACTCAGACATAGTTTTTCCTGCTCTTTAAAGTAAAAACAACCTAATTTTAAAAACTCAAGCCGTTTTCTTTAAAACTGATGAAGCTTCAGTTTGCGATGGGGACAGAGCACATGTCAGCCTTCCTTATGCATCTCCCACCCCTGTCAGTTGGCTGATTCTTCTGGATAATGGCAGGTTGTCACATGCAGACATCACCCTCTATTAATGATTTCCAAAAATTAAAAATAGGGATGACTGACATTCAGTGAGCAAGTCCTGTGCACGAGACAGCTTCGTATGGCTTTCCTGACAATGACTCCAGGAAGTGAACATCATTTAATTATAGTTACTATTCAGCTTGAATTCCCTCTTTATTTTAATATTGCCCATTCGTCTTCATGGCCTGACCTTCCCGTATTCTGCCCTCATTCGCACCGTCACCCTTCCAAACTCTGAAAAATAATTTTAGGCTCACGTGTCTAACCACAAATGGAGGTTTGCTTTCCCCGGAGATTCTGAAATTATTTCCAAAGCTCGGTGGAGTGGGCTGGTCCTGAACGAAGCACCTGGGGGAGCAGGGCGAAGGGGCCCAGGATTGCGTGCTTTCGACCTTACTGTCCTTTGGCCTCATCCTCACGTTATTTAAGGGGGATCTGGGCCCATCTGATGTAGATAAAGGCCTTCTTGACTTCTCTCTTTCTTCCTGAAACCAAGAAGAAACGTTTTCAAAAATGAAAATGGAGAAAAAAGAAGATTCAATCAGAATATATCCGTATTTAATCGAACTCTGTAGAAGAGTGAACACCTCAGATTTGCAAACCATGAACTTAGAAAGGGTGTTCTCTCTACTTAGCTTTTCTTCAGTTCAGCTTAACATCACTAGTATTTATAACTCGCTAGGGTAATATCTTTCCACCAGTAACAGCGACATTTATTTGTATTAGGAGAAAGTTGGGGGGCACCTGAGTGGCTCAGTCGGCTGAGCGTTTGACTGTAGATTTTGGCTCCGGTCATGATCTTGCGGTTTGTGGGTTCGAGCCCTGAAGTCGGGCTCTGTGCCAACAGCACGGAGCCTGCTTGGGACGCTCTCTCTCTCTGCGCTGCCCTGCTGCCCACTCTCAAAATAAATAAATAAACAACTTCTTTAAAAAAGAAGATGGATGACTGACAGAGACAGAGACAAAGAGAGAGAAATGGAACCTGGCACACACCCCACCCCGGCAATTTCACGTCAAGGAATTCGTTGTAAGGAAATAACTGCGGCAATGTGTATAGTTACAAACATTCTCATGACCGTTCCAAACCTGGGAAGTCAGCTATACTGGTGAGTAAGCAATTTCCTCTCTGCTGGGAACCCCCCTTGCTCCAACGCTCAGCTCAGCCGGGCGATGCTGGGGCAAACCGGCCGCTTGTCGAGCCGCTCGGGCAGGCCCCGCCGCTGGAGGGCGCTGGGGAGCGGCTGCAAGCCGGGAAGGGAGGCCAGGCCCGGCTCCCAGGGCTGCCATCTACGGCTGTCAATGCCACCCCAGCAACCACTCTTCACCTTCCGAGTGACAGAGGTACCGGGCTTATAGTGTTCCTCCCATAACCGCAGAGCTAGCCTCCTGTGCCCCACTCACACCTTCCAGCACCAGCTGGCCAGAGGGCCCCGCTCAGAACTCTGGGACTTGCCCCACAGGACCCTTCCTCCAAGCTCCCGGGTCACCAGCGGTGAGCGGTGTCAGTCCCGTGTCCCTTTTACCTTAAGTCCTTCAACCCGTTTGGCTTTACTTTAAAACATTAAATCTTTTGGGGCGGCTGGGTGTGTCAGTGGGTGGAGCGTCTGACTCTCGATGTCGGCTCTGATCTTGATCTCACGGTTCAGTAGTTCAAGCCCCAGGTTGGGCCCTTTGCTGAAAGCGTGGAGCCTGCTTGGGATTCTCTCTCTCCCTCTGCCCCTCCCCCGCCCACACAGGTGCATGTGCTCTCTCTCGTGTGCTCTCTCTCTCAAAATATAAATAAACTTCAAAAAAATAAAAGATTAAATCTGTTTACTAAAATAACATGTGCGGTCTGTTTTCCTGACTGAACTCTGACTACTGTATCAGTGAAGTGCCCAACAACAGGAAAATGACCAAATTATGGTGCTTCCATATGGTGGACTGCAATGAAGCCGTGAAAATCTGCCTGGTGTTAAGAATACTTAAGGACATGAGAAACATGCCCAGGGTATGTTAGGTGAAGAGGGAAAGGTGCAAAGTGATATGCAATCTTTTAACGTTAAAATTATGTGGGTGTGGGTGTGGGTATGTGTATACAGAAGAACAGGCTCAAAAAAAATGAGTCATGCTCATCTCTAGATAATAAGAATGACAGGCAATTTTTATTTTGTCCTTTTTGCTTATCTGTATTTTCTAATTTTCTAAAATGAATACTTTTGCCATAAGAAAAAAACAATAAATCTGTTACTTTAAAAAGTTAACACTTGGGGCCCCTGGGTGGCTCAGTTGGTTAAGCGGCCGACTTTGGCTCAGGTTATGACCTCGTGGTCTGTGAGTTCAAGCCCCAAGTCAGGCTCTGGGCTGACACCTCAGAGCCTGGAGCCTGCTTCAGATTCTGTGTCTCCCTCTCTCTGCCCTTCCCCTGCTCGTGCTCTGTCTCTCTCTCTCTCTCAAAAATAAACATTAAAAAAATTTTAAAAATAAAAAGTTAACACTTAAAGGAAGACCTATATTAGGAGATGAAAGCAAGATTAATATGATGGAGTGGAAAAGAAAGATAAACTGAAAAATCACCATGCACCCATATCAGCCTGGAAAAAATAGCAGGTAAGTAAGGAAATACTGGGGCGCCTGGGTGGCTCAGTTGGTAAAGTATCTGACTCTTGATTTCGGCTCAGGCCATGATCTCATGGTTCGTGAGTTCAAGCCCTGCATGGGGCTTTGCGCTGACAGCACAGAGCTACTTGGGATTCTCTCTCTCTCCCTTTCTGCCCCCTCCCTCTTTCAAACTAAACAAATGCTTTTTTTTAAATAAGGAAAACCTAAAAAGCAGCTGATGCCTTCCTTAAATTAATCATTGGCCTCCCATGATATGAGTTATGATGCCCACAGGATTGATGGATTTGCACAGATTAGTGACCCTTTTTATTCAGTACCCCCTTAACCCACAGCCTACATTTTCAAGGATTTTCCAGGACACCAGGCAAGATCTGGGATGACAAGCAAAGCACCTGAAGAAGCTTTACCAATTACATTCACCCAGGCTCCATATTGTTCTAGAAAGGATTTTAATGGTTAAAAATTATAAGCCACAAGGTAAAAGAAACACCAAAAGTACTCAAGATGACGGGAAATCAGGGCTGAACAAGAACGCCCGAGACCCTTCCCGATCACCAAAGACGGCCCCAAATACAACTCGGAGCAGCAGCCTCAGCCAAGAGGGAAGGAACCCTCATATTCACAGGCTCAAGAGCAAAAGCCATGAAACAATAGCAAATAAGCTAACCAGCCTACTTCTGTCAAACTTGTGACTTTGGCTTTTGTATCGCTTTTCTGTCCGCTCCACCACAGACCAGAAGGAACCCATGTCAGACACAGTCTAATGGGGCAGGCTGAACAGTCCGAATACAGAAACTCAAACCCAGCCAGGAGTCTCCAGGTTTCTACTCATCCAGTTGCATCTAAACTTGGTAACTGAGTTTGAGCTGAGAACATTCTGTGGAGAAAATTCCTGACAGATCTACCACTGGCTTCTTGACTATACTTACAAGAAACCTGTTTCTATGCAGGAACACGCGTTCTCTGATGGCTGTCCGTGTGGAAAATTCTATTTTGGGAGCAATGCCCTAAAAATGAAATAGCATAAAGGAAGCAAATAAATTACTGGAAACAGATTCTTCGCCCATCCCATTCTAACTTGAAAGCCTGTAAGAACCTAATTACTCTTTTGTGTGGTTGGCATAACCCACACATATCGCCTAAAATATATACATATGGGGCACCTGGGTGGCTCAGTTGGTTAAACATATGATCTCAGCTCAGGTCATGATCTCACGGTCCGTGAGTTCGAGCCCTGTGTCGGGCTCTGTGCTGACAGCCCAGAGCGTGGAGCCTGCTTCGGATTCTGTGTCTCCCTCTCTCTCTGCCCCTCCCCCTGCTCGCACTCTGTCTCTGTCTCTCTCAAAAATAAATAAACATTAAAAAATTAAAACACTGAACCACAGAATTGAGTGAGATTATCTAGGATTATCTGGGATAGATAGAGGTTCTCCTTCCTTGCCTATTTGCTTTGAAAAACGTGCTTCGTATCTTATACCAAATATTTATGCTCATTAGATCTATTTCCAAACTCCCCAATTCGTGTCATTGACACTTTTCTGGGGATCGGTGCCATACTGAATAATACACAGACACACACACACTCAGTAATAACAAGGAACAAAGTGCTGGTGCACACAATCACATGGGTGACTGTCCAAGGCATTTTTCTAAGTGAAAGGAGCCAATCTCAAAAGGGTGCAGACCATATAATTCCCTTTACGTGACCTTCTGAAAAAGACAGAACTACAGTGATGGAGAGCAGACCAGTGGTGAGGGGTAAGGGAGAGGTTGCACCTATAAAGGGATAAAGGGAGGAGATTTGGGGGTTGATGGGAGAGCTCCACATCCTGATCACGGTGGTGGTTTCACAAATCTATACATGTGTTAACATTCGTGTAACCGTGTATCAGAAAAATCAATTTACCGCACGGTCATTTAAAAAATACAATTATCTGGGCACCTGGCTGGCTCAGCCAATGGAGCGTGCGACTTTTGACGTTGGGGTTGTGAGTTTGAGCCCCATGTCGGGTGTAGGGATTACTTAAAAATAAACGCTTTTAATTGGTAAATAAATAAAATAAAAATACCATTATCTTTCTAAAAAAGACTGAGCCTTTAGAGAGACAGAAAGCAGTTTTCCCAAGGTCCCGTGGCTTCTAGATGGCAAAACGAGAACAGAACTGGATCTGATCGAGTCACAGGATCTCCGACTGACCTCATGGACTCACCTGCAGCCATCGCTCCCTCCCCCCCTCCCCCGCCCAGCAGGACCCTCTGCTCTTCCCTCCCCCAGACGCCATCACCTGGCCAGGTGTTCCTTGTCCCGGGTGTGCCTTCCCTTTCTTCATCTCCTGTCCAAGCCCCAGTGGCCTCTCAAAGCCCGCCCTCCCCCTCACTCCTCCAGGCTGTGAAAGCTCATTCTCATTATAGGACGAAGTAAGTAAGAAGGATCTGCATCAGCTGAAGCCCCAGGGGGAGAGGATACCGACAAGTACTGTATCTTTACAGTGAGGGACTTTCACGCGATCTCATTTAACCCTCCCACCACCTGGGTAGGACACAGTCCTATCCCCATTTTATCCAACGAGCTTGGAGAGGTTAAGTCTGTCCACTGTGACGCAGCTGGGGATTGGTGGAGCCAGGAGTCAGCTTGTTTCCTGGGCATTTATTCACTCCTATGCACGTTCATTTTTGTGCGTTCATCTTGTCCACAGAACATGTCCTTACAGGCACAGCCTAGATCCTCAGCTCCTTTTTTTCTTTTTTCTTTTTTTTGCCTCTAGAATGTGGTATGCCCATACAAGCGGTAGGCTTGGGCCAGAGACTCAAGATTTCTGGGCTTACAAACACATGAGCCCAATTGCTGCCAAGTTAGAAAATCCGGGGGGGGGGGGGGAAGGGTGGTGGTGGGGGGTGGAGACATCTGGCAAACAGCATACAATGACGTGACCTGCTCAGCCTCACCTCCAGCTATGAGACTGCCCACCGGAGAGGAGACTGGGGGAAGCTCCAAGGTCCACAGCGCTGTTGGTTAGAATCATGAGGCCTCGTGTGTGCCAGACCTCAGGTCCCCCATGGCCCAGCCGTCTGAGCCTGAACACGTCCCCACGTGGGCCACAGACTCGTGCAGTTTTTCATGGCCTCACAAGGAGGCAGCATCATCATTTGAATGACAATTTAATAAACCACAACAGGTCACGTTTACCGTGAACCTAACTATATGCCAGATAGCATGCTAAACGCTGTACATATATCCAACCCTCGCAATAACCCTATAGGGGAAGTACTATTATCAGTCCATTTTACAGCTGGGAACCTAAGGTAAACAGAGAGAAAGCAATTTACCCAAAGTCACAGTAATGAGTGACATAGCCGGGACTGAACCCAGACAGTCCGAGTCCACACTTTGCACGTGTGGCTGCCTAGCAGGACTTCAAACCGCTGTTACACTTTGCCTGGAGAGGAGGAGGGAGGTGCCCTACCAGCAAGGAATCCACACCCCGTAACACATTCCTGTTCGCCTCATATAACCTCGATGCCTGACAGTGACTGACAGATAATAAGGAAGAACGTATTTTCTTGTTCACAGGAGCACTGATTTTAGTGTAAAAGTTTAGAGCTGAAATTTACAGGGTCTATCTTGTCCAATTTCCTTAGCAACAGGATGAGGGCAATGATGGTTAGGTCAAGAAATGGATTTAACAGTACGACTTTTCTAGAATCATGGCCCTAAAGAAAAAATGAAATTATTAACTAAAAGTTAACAATGAAGAAATAATAATATTCCTTCTGCTTACTTTACAGTCTTCACCTAACAAGAAAACAAATTATATTAAAAAAAAAATTCTTGGGGCACCTGGGTGGCTCAGTCAGTTAAGTGTCTGACTCTTTAATTTCAGCTCAGGTCATGATCTCCCAGTTTATGACTTTGAGCCCCGAATTGGGCTCTGCGCTCTCTACTTGGGATTCTCTCTCTCCCTCTTCCACTGCCCCTCTCCCCCTCAAAAATAATTAAATTAAAAAAAAAATTCTTAACCTTAGCAGGAAAAGGGGGGAGAAACAGCGGTTAAGGTATCAAGTGAAATAAAACGAAATACAGAAATACAAAGGAAAAGTCACATTTTCGTGAAGGAAATAAGTCTACTTCTTAATGAATTAACAACTTAGAGAAAACAAGTGAATGATTTGCCTGACCCACACATGTACACACTCAAGTTCTATGATATGAATGTAGAGAAAGTGGACAATGGACTGAAATAAACACGAGAGAATTAGCGTCTCACAGTGACCAAGATTCCAGACTTTGAAGTCTGACAGACAAGCATGCCCCATCATTCATCAGCCCTGTGTCTTCAAGCCCATTCTTTTTTTTTTCAATATTTTAAAAGTTTATTCATTTTGAGAGAGACATAGACAGCATGGGGGGTGGGGGGCAGAGAGACAGAGAGAATCCCAAGTAGGCTGTGTACCGTCAGCACAGAGCCTGATGTGGGGCTCGATCTCATGAAACTGTGAGATCCTGACCTGAGCCAAAACCAAGAGTCAGACACTTAACCGACTGAGCACCCAGGCGCCTCTCTTCGAGCACCTTCTTAAACTCCCTGTGCCTCCTTACCCATCAGTAAAATGAGGAAAAAACTGATAGCCACCTTGCAGGGTCAAGGAGGACTGCACGAGATAACCTGTAACAAACTCAGCAGAGTACCTGGCATCTAGCGAGCGGGCACTGAATGTCTGCTACCACTAAAACTGCGGCAGCTGGTTTTATGTTGCTTTATAGAACATTTGAGAGAAATTGAGCTCTGCTATCTTTTTACAAATTGTTTAAAACATAGTTTCATTAACTTCACTGACACTTTACCTCTAATGCCTGCTGATCTTTCCCTGCGGTTTTAAAGCCCTTTCTCTGCATTTACAAAAAACTATAAACACAACTTCCTATATGTTCTTCTTCCTATTTATGCCCATAAAGTTAAACAGAGACAACACTTGAGAAAACGTAAGATGTGTGTTTCTCGTCTCGATACTCAGCTGGATACCAGCTCAGTGTTTGTGGATGGCTTTTCTGTGATAGAAAACTCAGGCAAACCGAAGTTAATATAAGGAATATCCTTCACGTGATTCTCGCCAGTTTTGATCCTTTTAGCTCCTGAAGAGAAATATGCCAATAACTCAATATGATAAAGGCAAACATTCTCATGAGTACGATGGATATAGGTGATATACAAAGAGTATCTCGGAGGGGGAAAAAATGGCGTCAGTGATATTCACCGAACCCTCAAAGATTATGGAGGGTTTAGAGTTACGGACATTAGCAATTCTGAGGAGGACAACTTTTGATGAAAGTTCGCCATCTGAAGTATTAGAACTAGAAGTTCTGTCATCATAAACATCACAGAAGTAAGGGTCCTGCATGTTGTATATTCTACACAGTACTCTCAACAAAATGGGAGGCAATGACATTTTATTAAGTGATAGTAACAGAGATTCATGGGCAAGTGACAGAAAAGTTGAGTATTAAATATGCTTTTTATAATTCATAAAGGTGCGGCCCTTACAAGAGAGGCCATCCAGGCAACAGAAATGTTGAGAAAACCATCCGAGTTGCTGTGAGGTTAGAAACTATCACAGATATCATCAAAATGAATATTTTGAATTTGGGTTCAGGCAATGCCCCCAAAACAGATTGTCATCTGAATCACTGCTGTGTCTTTTAAGATCCTTCAATAATATCACTGTGAACCTCTGTCTCTTTCCCTTCCGTTAAGTGGAGACTGTGATAGCTGCCTTGGATGACATGAGAACTCTGAGGAAAATAATGTATCTTATGAAGAACCGAAAGCTCAAAATAAATGAGAGGTGGCATTACTACTATTACGACTGTATTTTGCTTTCATTATTACTACTAAAACAATAGTTACAATTAAATAAACTGGTACAGGGGCACCTGGGTGGCTGAATCAGTTAAGCGTCCGACTTCGGCCCAGGTCATGATCTCATCGTCTGTGAGTTCGAGCCCCGTGTTGGGCCCTGTGCTGACAGCTCGGAGCCTGGAGCCTGCTTCGGATTCTGTGTCTCCCTCTCTCTCTGCCCCTCACCTGCTTGCACTGTCTCTCTAACGCTCTCAAAAATAAATAAAACATTTAATAAAAAACAAACCAGTATCAAATCTCTCAGTCTGCATTCAGAGAAGGTGGAAAAAGCATCCTTATAAGTATGTGACAGTGTGACGATGGCAATGATTTACCTGGCTAGGTAAGATCCCCACCTCTCAGACCAGTATAATTGGTATTTTGAATGGGGCATCTAAACGGGGCTGCTAAACAGAACAAGGGAACTAACTCAGATGGAAGTGATCTGCCCAAGAGCATCCCCTATCGGAAATAAAATGTCCAGGTCGCAAGAATCTCTCCCAGCAGAAGTCCAGCGGGGCATGAATCACTTACTGGAAAACCTGCAAATGTCTTCATGAGCACCTTCCTGTACATGCCAGGGAGCAAAGGTGTCAGCTTGGGCTCAGGGAAAAGAAAATCTCGTGTGTTTTCTTCATAGCAGGCCAACTCTTCCCATGCTAGAATGCAAGGAGAAAAACCGTAAGTAGATTTACGTTCTGAAAATGATCTACTTCTTGAGTTTAACAGAATAAGAGCTCAGACAGGTGATGGCAGAGAAGGCACTCAGATAAATGTAGACATTTTGGGGCGCCTGGGTGGCTCATTTGGTTAAGCATCAGACTTCAGCTCAGGTCATGATCTCACGGTTTGTGAGTTCAAGCCCCGCATCAGGCTCTGTGCTGACAGCTCGGAGCCTGGACTCTGCTTCAGATTCTATGTCTCCCTCTCTCTGCCCCTCCCTTGCTCACACTCGGGGTGAGCTCAAAATAATAATAAATAATATTTATTTATTATAATAAAAATGTTTATTTATATTTATATTTATATAAAAATATATTTATTATAATAAAAATAATAATAAATAAATGCTCAAAAATAATAAACATTAAAAAAATAAACCTTTTGATTAAAGCACCTCTTATTTAAGAGGCAGAGTAGAAGACACTTCTACTGGATCTTATCTCATGGATAAAATTTAAAAGTCTTCCGAACTCACAACAGAGAGAGACAAAAGTATCTAAAGGATTACTCCACAAGACAGAACAAAGAGAAAAATCTCTTTTCATCCATCTGTCTGTCCGTCCATCCATGCCGCCCGCCACCCATCCTTTCCTTCCACATGTTTTCCAAGGACACACTTTGGGCCAGGTCCTAGGGACAGAACAGGAACAAAGCAGACAGCGCCCTGTTCACACAAAGCTTACAGCATAGACTGGGGCTCGACGTGTCCTCTGATGCAGAGACACCAGTATCCTGATGGCCCCCAGAACAGCCGAGGCTGTGGTTCTTAGCACGGTTGGTACCAGCCTCAGGGACACTTCCAAAATTTGTGGGGACGTGTCATGGGCAGGAGCCAAGGTGCCAGGGTCAAGACATTGCAACACTCAAGACACTCCTGCACAACATTCTAACATCATAACCGACATTCTTTTAGGCGAGAAGCTAATTCTTCCCTTATAATTAGCGAAGCCTGGAACCTCACGGCTACATGTAAACACAAAGCACTTTCTCTGCATGGTTTTATTTTTTTTTTAATGTTTTTATTTATTTTTGAGACAGAGAGAGACACAGCATGAATGGGGGAGGGTCAGAGAAAGAGGGGACACAGAATCTGAAGCAGGCTCCAGGCTCTGAGCTGTCAACACAGAGCCCGACGCGGGGCTCGAACTCACAGACCGTGAGATCATGACCTGAGCCGAAGTCGGAAGCTCAACCGACTGAGCCACCCAGGCGCCCCACTCTGCATGGTTTTAAAATACACTGAATTTTCGGGAATGCAGGTACCATGTGAATTGAGGGGCCGTCGTACTTGACTGTGTTTGGGTCTTTATTGAGCCCCTACAGGCACTTTGAAAACCATGCCACATCTAAATACTTCTTTGTGCCCACCATTTATGTATTGATATGCTATCGTTTTATTTTAAACCATTTTCCTTTTATTTCTCCATTTGCAGTGATTGGCTTCAGTTGGTTATATTAACCATCAATATTATTTCAGTCTGACGAAAGGGATGTTCCCAAACACTCATTACCAACAGATCTGGGGGCTACGAGGACCGAGAATCACTGAGCGAAGGATGGAGAAGCTGCCGTCTGAACGCTCCTCGTCTACACAGCAGGTGCGACACAAGAGGTTCAGACTAAGAGTGGCCTCTGTATGGCACACTGCCACAGAAGAGACTATGGTCAACCAGGTAGCGTTACTGTTTGGTGACTACCATTCTGTTTGTGAGAAGAAGTCTGACGACGGTGGATTTCTGGCACATCGATGGCAGAAAACACCTGACATTATCACGTATAATGGACCAATTTCTTCCTACTTATTCTTTAATACGGATGTTCGGGGGGCGCCTGGGGGGCTCAGTCAGTTAAGTGTCTGACTTCAGCTCAGGTCATGATCTCACAGTCCGTGAGTTCGAGCCCCCCGTCGGGATCTGTGCTGATGGCTCGGAGCCTGGAGCCTGTTTCAGATTCTGTGTCTCCCTCTCTCTCTGCCCCTCCCCTGCTCATCTGTCTCTCTCTCTCTCTCTCTCTCTCTCTCTCTCTCTCTCTTTCAAAAATATATAAAACATTTTTTAAAAATTAAAATAAATAAATAAATATGAATGTTTGGGTTCTAATAAGGATCCATGTGCAAAAAGAACACATTCTATGGTTTTCGTCATCAGATCATGTGTCCCCACCCTTCTCTCAGAAGTGCTCCGGCCACAACGGATTGAAGATGTATCTCTCCCTCCTCCACCGCCGCGTCCTTCCTCTGCCGGTGCTGTTCCTTCCAAAATGTCCTTTCTTCCTTCCCATCCTGTTGAGATCTCCTTCGTCCTTCAAGCTTCACGTCCAATGTCTCCTCATGTCTCCAAAGTAACAGGTCCAAAACAACACCCTTGATTTTTTTCCCACACATAAGCTATCCCCTATTCTCCCTTCAGAGAGAAGGGAGCATGTGCTCGGGCCAAAAGTCCAGGCTTTATCCTTGACTCCACTCCT